ACAGTGCCCACTATGTCAAGATCACTTCTTCAGCAGGCCTTCATCTAAAGCAGAGGTTGTTCTCAACCTGTGGGTCGAGACCCCTTTGGGCGTCGAACGACCCTTTCACAGGGGTCACCCGATTCATGACAGTAGCAAAATTACAGTTATAGTAGCAACAAAAATAATTTTATAGTGGGGGGTGTGTGTCACCACAACATGAGGAACTGTGTGAAAGGGTCGCGGCATGAGGAAGGTTGAGAACCACCGACCTAAAAGCCAGGTAATTCCACTGATGTGACGTAACCATACAATAAACCTCATCATATTCCAGAACCACAGGTGAAAGAGGCTACAGCAATTGAGACTCACAGCAACTCTCTCGGGCCGTGTGACACAGTCCCATACAGGTTCCAAGGCTGTATGTTTTATAGATGAATCTTTGACCCGAGGAGTCACGTCTGGGGTCAACATGCATTATTTTCCTTAGCAACCAAGCGCTTGACACACGGACCCATAAAGACAAAGCGGTCACAAACTTCAGACCTGACAAAATCTCTACAATTCCTCAGGCATCACATTGTTGTACATGAACCGGACAAGAACAATTCAGTCTCTGGTAAGAAGGAAAACAGCTTATTAAAGGGGGACAGAAAAGAGAAAAAAGCACCTGAGCAGGGACCAGTCACCTGAGTTTCAAGAGAGAGTGACTGGCCCCGATCACTTCCAGACTTGGGTTTTTATAGGGTTTCATTGAGCTGTGCAGCTGAGCAAGCAAGCTGGTGCAGAAGCAGATCTTGCATTTAGGCGGATAAGCACAACTTCCTGGTACAGGATAGTCTGTTGCCAGTCCTGAGAACAAGGGCTATTTGGTTTTTCTGAGAATGTTATAAGGTCTGAGGTTGCACTTGTGGCCTGGTGCAGAATGTCTGCTTAATACAAAATGGCTTTACTTAGGCTAACTATTACAACATCTCGACAGCAAGCTCACTTAAACAAGGAGCCACCCGGTGTCCTTTTGGGTTGTATTCAGCTAGGAACACAGCCAAAGGCATGTGGACATGCAAAGACCTGAATTCCGTCCAGGATGGAAAAAGAAAATAAAGTATTCTCCACCCAAAGCTTCTAGGATTCTCTTGCCCGCTCCACAACCGGACAGCAGGGAAACAGGCTCTGCTCCTGGCTAAGCACGCCTATGCTGCATACTGTGCACTCAGCAGTGGCTGGAAAGGTTCATTTCATTCAGGATGCCTATCATATATGGAGAAGCCAGGGTGACTTGAGGGAGAGCAACAGGCAGTCACAGGAGCAGACCCTGGGACATTACAAAGTAGCTCTAGAGAACGATAACGTCCCACCTCTGGTTGTTTTCCGGATCACAAGCTCCCCCATCCTCAACGTCCCTGCTGGACTAAACTAAGAGATGCGCACAACGTTATTCTTGACTACTACCGTCTAAAAAGACCTAAGTTTTCCACTGAAGTAAAGGGCCCCACTCTTGGAAGCCCACCAAGCAGTCTTAGCATTCCTTGCGATTCAAAATCCCTTTCCATCCCTAGAAGGATATTTGCCCAAACTTCCTAATTTTCGAAGGCCTTTTACCTCACGGATGTTACATTTCAATGCTTCCTAAGCTAGAGCCCAACCCCCGTCCGTCTCCACCATTTGATTGACAGCTGGCTAACTCTCGCCCCGCCCCCTTCAATCAAAGGAAACGAAATGGCTTTAGCAGAACCCTGGCCCAAGAAACACATCCCGAACATTGAGTTCAGAGCCCTTCAAAAGCCTCTGACCAGTAGCATTCCCGTCGGCGATCAAGGTTGAATTCGGCCCATCTCACGGGCAGCGTGTCTCGCTTAAGAAGTACCTGAATGTCACCTGGAGTCGCTGGACCCTTTGCAAACACCCCC